AAAGAGAGAGAAAAAAATCCAGGAGTATGAGGGGAGAATTAGAGAACTAAGTGATGCAATGAAACGGAACAATATCTGTATAATAGGAATTCCAGAGGAGGAAGAGAGAGAGAGAAAGGGGCTGAAGGTGTACTTGAACAAATCATACCTGAGAACTTCCCTGATCTGGAGAAGGAAAAAGGCATTGAAATCCAAGAGGCACAGAGAACTCCCTTCAGACATAACTAGAAACGATCTTCTGTGCGACATATCATAGTGAAACTGGCAAAATACAAGGATAAAGAGAAAATTTTGAAAGCAGCTAGGGATAAAGACACTCTAACATATAAAGGGAGACCGATAAGACTAGTAGCAGATCTATCTACTGAAACTTGGCAGGCCAGAAAGGAATGGCAGGAAATCTTCAATGTGACGAACAGAAAAAAATATGCAGCCGAGAATCCTTGGTCCAGGAAGTCTGTCATTTAGAATAGAAGGAGAGAGAAAGGTCTTCCCAAACAAACAAAAACTGAAGGAATTCATCACCACTAAACCATCCCTACAAGAGATCCTAAGGGGGATTCTGTGAGTGAAATGTTGCAAGGACCACAAAGTACCAGAGACATCACTACAAGCATGAAACCCACAGACATCACAATGACTCTAAACCCATATCTTTCAATAATAACAATGAATGTAAATGGACTAAATGCTTCAACCAAAAGACATAGGGTATCAGAATGGATAAAAAAACAAGACCCATCTATTTGCTGTCTACAAGAGATTCTTTTAGACCTGAGGACACCTTTAGATTGAAAGTGAGGGGATGGAGAAGTATCTATCATGCTACTGGAAGTCAAAAGAAAGCTGGAGTAGCCATACTTATATCAGACAAACTAGACTTTAAACTAAAGGCTGTAACAAGAGATGAAGAAGCGCATTATATAATAATTACAGGGTCTATCCATCAGGAAGAGCTAACAATTATAAATGTCTATGGGCCGAATATGGAAGCCCCCAAATATATGAAACAATTCATCACAAACATAAGCAACCTTATTGATAAGAATGTGGTAATTTCAGGGGACTTTAATACTCCACTTACAGCATTGGATAGATCATCTAGACACAGGATCAATAAAGAAACAAGGGTCCTGAATGATACATTGAATCAGATGGAGTTGATAGATATTAGAACTCTGCATCCGTAAGCAACAGAATATACTTCTTCTCAAGTGCACATGGAACATTCTCCAAGATAGATCACATACTGGGTCACAAAACAGCCCTTCATGAGTGTAAAAGAATTGAGATCGTACCATGCACACTTTCAGACCACAATGCTGTGAAGCTTGAAATCAACCACAGGAAAAAGTCTGGAAAGAACACCCTACTAAAGAATGAGTGGGTCAACCAGGCAATTAGAGAAGAAATTAAAAAATATATGGAAACAAATGAAAATCAAAATACAACAATCCAAACGCTTTGGGATGCAGCGAAGGCAGTCCTGAGAGGAAAATAGATTGCAATCCAGGCCTATCTCAAGAAACAAGAAAAATCCCAAATACAAAATCTAACAGCACACCTAAACGAAACAGAAGCAGAACAGCAAAGACACCCCAAACCCAGCAGCAGAAGAGAAATAATAAAGATCAGAGCAGAAATAAACAATATAGAATCTAAAAAAACAGTAGAGCAGACCAATGAAACCAAGAGTTGGTTTTTTGAAAAAATAAACAAAATTGATAAACCTCTGGCCAGGCTTCTCAAAAACAAAAGGGCGATGACCCAAATAGATAAAATGATGAATGAAAATGGAATTATTACAACCAGTCCCTCAGAAACACAAGCAATTATCAGGGCATGCTATGAAAAATCATGCCAACAAACTGGACAACCTGGAAGAAATGGACAAATTCCTAAGCACCCACATGCTTCCAAAACCTAAAGTTACCCGGTGTTGTTGTCATTTTGATATTAGGGTGGATTGTGCATATCCATAAATGGGGTCTTGTTTTGCACTTTTTTTAAATCTTACAATGCGTAATGAAATGTTCTCCATGTTAATATAGTTGCATCTGCACCCTAGTGTTGACGGTGCTGTTGTATGGCTGTGACACGTAAATACTTTATGTGTTTCGCCAGTGTCCTCTTGTTGGACTTTCAGGTTGTATACGTTGTGTCTTTTTTATTTCTTTGCCATAACTAAACCCAAAGTAAATGAGAAAGAGAGAGAGGAAAAAAAGGAAGTTGTAATGAACTTCCAGTGTATATATATTCTATTTTATTGTCTCCTTGGCATGAATTCCTAGAAATGGCATTGTTGTGTTGAATGGTAAGCGTATTTAATATTATTTTTCATGCTGCCACTCTGCTTTCTGGAAAGATGGCATCAAAGTACAACATCTGTCAGCTGTGTGTGAAAATGCCCAATTTTCTACACCTGTGCTAGAACTAGGTTCTGTCCACCTTTCAACTTCGGCAAACCTGAAAAGGGAAAGGCATCTTATACTTACTTTACATTTCTTTTACTGGTATGTTTGAACATCTCAAAGTGTGTGTTGGCTGCTTCTATTTCTTCTTTTGTGACTTGTGATTTCAGGTTTTCGTATTTTTTTGTTGATTTGTAGGAACTCTTTGGATGTCAGAGATGGTGACACTTTTGTCTGTAGGATCTTGGAAATCTTGTGAAGGTTATGTCGAGTCATGAAGGACATATAGTATCTCAAATGAGACTAAATCAGTGAGCAAATATTTTTTATGTGTTTCTTGCTGGTGCTCATACACGTGTTTAGAACTGAAACCTGCATTTAGTGTCTCAGAAAGAGTGTTGTATGGTCTGGAAGTTGTGAATACGGTGGGCCTTTTATACCGACATTAGGCGATGCGCAAATGCCAGGAAACTGACACCTTTGACGTGTGTCCACACACACCCTGCTGAACTGTGGGTTGTGCCCTGAGCCTAACCATTCCTTTTCAGCTTGGCTCTTTACTTCCTCTTTCCCATGTTCCAGGTCAGAAACCTCACAGTTATCTGTGGACCTTTTCCGAGGTGAAGGCTACGGGTTCTCAGCCTCCCTTCCCAGAAGGTTAATCCCGCCTCCTCAGGCTGCCCTGCCCCAGACGGTTTCTGCTATTGTTTCAGGCCTCCTGTTAGAATGATCTGATGCTTCTGCTGTAAGACTATGAGCTCCCTAGAAGCAAGATGGGAACCTTACTTACTTTTGTACCTTCAGACTCTTATCACAGCATGACTGAAAATAAGCATGTCATAAATGTTCGTTGTATTTGATCTTTCCATTTAAAAGATGACGATGCGTAAGCCCCTGTAGTGTACTGGTACATTAACCATTTTCCTCAACTTTTTGTTCTGAAAAATTTCAGAAGTTCAGGAGAGTTGAAAGAATATTCATATTCTGCCCCCTAAATCTACCTATGGAGATTCATCTCACTCTGACACGTAGCTGATTCTCTGCTCAGAAACCAACAGTGACTCCATTCTGGGCATTGGAGCAGATGTGAACTGTAGCATTCTTTGTCCGTAAATGGTCACAGCTCACAAAATGTTGCCCTCTCTGCTCTGGTCCTGCTCTGTCTGCTCTGTCTATTCTTAATGTCATTGATTTTACACATTACTTCCCTCTGTAGAACATGCCTCTTTTTCTTGATGGAAACTTTTGCACATTAAGTGTTCTGAGTTCCTATAGCTCTAATGGCTAATTTTTATCATTCTTTCATTCTGTAGAGTTCCTGACCACATGACTAGCTGTTAGGAGGTGAGTGCTGAGGCCCGTTTTGATCTTGTTACCTTCATAGAGCCTGGCACGCCCACTTTGGATTTGGCTGTTATTTTATAATAATAGCATTCCTGAAGCATTTGTGCCATGATGTGAATCCAGCATTGATTTATAATACCTATGTTGCCCCAAAACTTATGCTGTGTTGGAGTAAGAGAAAAACTTATCAGTCTAAGCCAGATAACCTAGGTCTGTTTGATCTGCTTGTTGCAAGATCATAATTCACCCTAAAGAATGGAAGACTGTTCTGTGGTGTTGGTCATTCCTTTTGTGATTATTCCCAAGAATTGATTTGCACGTGTACTTTGGAGTCATTAAAACCCACGTCAAGTACAAAGTTAGAATAAGTAAGTCTAAAGTCTGGAAATTGTCTCTGCTGTGAATCACTGGGTTAGAGAGATTCACACGAGAAACATTTTAGAGGGAGGCCATTAGGCCTTAGTGACTGATGCCATTTGTGGATATCCAAGTTGACCAGAGTACTTTTCAAGCGTGGAAATGGAGATAAAGATGATATTCCTGAGAAAGAGAAACTAGGAAAGGAAGCTGATACTGGGGACTTCAACTCCATACCTAAGCATGAACTCGGACCAGGTCAATTCCCTGCTCTTACTGAACTGATGACTCCCATCGCTTATTTGACAAAGCCCCGTTCCTTTGTAGTCACGGTCCCTGGTTAGATACCTGCTCATTCCCATCCTGCACCCCCCCACCCCTACACCCACAAGTGGTGCTGTAGCCACACCTAATCACTTGTGTGTCTCTGATTCTGTTGGCTATTTTTCCTCTCTATTTTGTACAGGAATACTGTTTCTTCTACGTAGAATGCCATCCAAGTCTCGCGAGCAAATTCCTGTTCGTTCCTCTAAACGCTGTTCGGGTGTCAGATCTTTTGTAAATACTTTCTGACTCTTCCTGTGTGACAGTGTATTTTACACTTTTTGTCCTTCCCTTATCTGATGTCCTCCCTGCCGTGTTCTGAGCTGCCTACGGGAAAGGATGATGTTCCCCCTGACTTTGTATGGGCCTGGCTCACACATGTGCTTTCAACCGTTGGTTGAGCCTGTCTCATGTCCATCTGGATCATGAGAAATTTCCCTTTCTCCTGGGACCCAGAATTAGGTGTAATTAGGAGAAAATACAAATACATATTTTTTGATATGTTTCCATATATTTCACTTTTCCATTATAACCCATGTGCTTTTTATTTTATTTTAATTTCAGCACATTTGTAAAAGATGAAAGTGACCTTATCAGCTTTGGATACTTGTGAGAGTTCCTTCACGCCTTTGGTGGTCCTAGAACTTGCTCAGGATGTCAAAGAAGAAACCAAAGAATGGCTGAAAAACAGAATTATCTCTAAAAAGGAAGATGGAGGCAAGTAAAACAAATATTACTCAGACTTAGCCATGATCAGTGACTAAAAATGTATTTTCAAATGTTTTACAGTTTTTTCCCTGATATATTTCTAAAATTAATATCCATTTCTTTGCTCTTTATTATTTATCTGGACTTGAAAGGGAATCTAAGTCAGCATTAGACTGTAAGCAGCACGAGTGTGATTTTGTTCACAGCTATAAATGCTGTGCCTAGTACACTGCCTGGTGCACAGTAGGTCAATATTTATCAGATGAGTGGACAAGTATCTATTTGTGTGTCAGATATGGTGCTAAGAGAGAGATTAATACGGTCCCTGCCTGAAAGAACGTTACCGTGACTGTTACTGTCGGTGTAAGGAGACTGAATGTGGATTTCTGGAAACTGAAGTAACAACAACAACAACAAAAACAAAAAGAGAGAGCTGTTACAAAGCAGTGCACGATAGTTCAGAGTGAATTGTTTGTAAGCTAGCTGGAAGAGGAAAGGGAAGAAAGAGGAGACCCTTGGTGATGCTTTTCAGGATGGAAAGGGATGACTTTATAGGAGAAGCCAAAGCTTAGCCCTCTCCCAAAGGGCAAAAGGGGGTCTACATCTGGGGGAAAGAGTGGAGGACATTTTACATGAGGAAACGTTTCATAAAACTGTACAAAACAATACCTAAAACTTCACCAAGTCTCCAAACACTGAATACAACTTAGACTTTTTTTTTTTTTTAAGATTTTGACTGTAAACTGAAGTGCTTTCTTAAAAATAAAACCTTGAATCAAAGTGGGATTTTTGATTTTTTGGAAACAACCAAGCCAAAAGAAAACTTGAAAACGAGAGTATCTGCTTACTAAAATCAGAGGTGTTTCACTGGATTGGAGTTCGTTCGTTCATTTGTTCTTTCTTTAAATGTTTATTTTTAAAAAATTTTTTTAAACGTTTATTTATTTTTGAGACAGAGAGAGACAGAGCATGAACAGGGGAGGAGCAGAGAGAGAGGGAGCACAGAATCTGAAACAGGTTCCAAGCTCTGAGCGGTCAGCACAGAGCCCGACGCGGGGCTCGAACCCACGGACTGTGAGATCATGACCTGAGCCGAAGTCGGACGCTTAACCGACCGAGCCACCATCAGGCGCCCCTAAATGTTTATTTATTTTTGAGAGAGAGAGAGAGAGACAAAGTGTGAGAGGGGAAGGGGTAGATAGAGAGGGAGACAAATCTGAAGTGGGTCCAGGCTTTGAGCTGTCAGCACAGAGCCTGAAGTGGACTTGAACCCATGAACCGTGAGATCATGACCTGAGCTGAAGTTGGACGCTTAACTGACTGAGCCCCCCAGGCGCCCCTGGGTCCCTTCTTTAAAATTCCTGTGATGGAAGAGCTTTTGTCATGCCTAAGAGTGAGGGACTTTCGTGTATTCCCAGTCTTCTCTGTTCCTTGTGTGGAACAGACACACAAGAATGGGGAAGCAGCGGGCATCTTTCTACTGTTGGGAAAGCAAAAAAGAACATTCCAAAAAAGCATCCTCATCTTTCAGGTAAGGGTAGTAGGTTCAACACTCATGTTTACTTTTACTCTCTTCTAAACTCCTATTGAAATGACAATAAAAGGATCTTTTAAAAAAGATAATAAGTCCAGGTTGACAAAGAAGAAAGGAAAGAATATAACAGCAGCGCCATTTTGGAAGCTAGAAAACGGGTGGATGAGTGGTGAATAACTTCTCAGATTTGACAAAGCCAAAGCTGAAGCTGGCAGGGGTACAAGTTGAGGTACAGTTTGGTTTACACTGCAGACTGAAGACTTCTAAAGACTTAGGTATTAGTGACTGTAGAGACCTGTGGAGGCAGAAATAAGTGCTACCAAGAAAAAGGAAAAAGAATCGACCAAGATCCATTTGAGAAATAGTTAGCTCCCCTGATCCCTTCTGTATTCTACCATCGGAGCAGAAGAGTGTGAATTATTCTCTGCAGAGGGTCAGATGCTTGGATTTCGTAATGGGGGATTTATGCACAGTTGAAAACAGAGATTCTGTACTGCAAATAGGATAATAACTGAGTATTATTACCCCTGTCCTCCACCCCACGGATCTCATACCTAATTTAGTATCCAAAATATTAGCTAGAATCAATCATCTAGGAAGCAGATTGAATAATCTTTCCTGGGGACTCTGACCAGAGTCAGAGTCAAAGGCAAAATAACCCAAGGTGCAGAAATCAGAGAGTTGCCCATGAGAAATGACCTGGCCAGATGACTGTGCATGAAAGGCCATCTTTAATGAACTCCATCTAAACCTTCAGAAGTTCACCGTACCCTGTTGGAACACCTTTCTTAAACATGCGCATACAATAAAAGATCAAACGTCTGAGGAAAATCCCTAACATGAAGGAGAAAGCTAAACTAAAACAAACAGACAAAAACCAAGAGGAAATTAAAAACTCAACTCTCAGTTATGAGAAGGTAGAACATTCTATAAATCAAGAGTTGGATGCTGTAAAATATTCATTTAGGAAAAAAGCTCTTAGAAAGTGGAAATATGAAAGCAAAGTTTAAAAACTCAGTCAAAGGATTAGAAGGTAATTTTGATAAAACCTACCAGAAGGTAGAGCAAAAAGTTACAGAATTGGAAAATTTGACAGAGAAAAAATAAGGAAGTTAGAGGACTCGTCCAAGAGGTACACATCTGAATAAAAGGAGTTCTAGAAAGGGAATGGAAGAAAAGGGGAAGAAATCATCTGAGGAAAACTCAAGGTTGATGCCATGCTTTTTCAGCTGGAAAGGGCCCACCTCGTGCCCAGCACTGTAAATGAAGAGGCCTGTCATTGGGAAGTTCTGGAACCCTGGGAATGGAGAAGATACTACAAACTTCAAGAGAAAAAGAAAAAAGGTCACGTATATAATAATAACACGTATATAAGGATGAGACTTCGTAGCAGAAACATGGGAAGCTAGAAGGCATTTTCTGAAGGAACTTGACTTATGTGTAGTTCTTATCTATTTGGGAGATACGTTTGAATTGTTAATACAATTTTCCTTATATCAAACTAGAGACAATACTCACTTAGAATGTTTTCGTTCTTGAAACTTTTCTGAGATTGTGCTTATCTTTTGTTTTTGAAGGTGCCCAGCTGCTGTTTAGACCATTGTTAAATAAATATGAGAAAGAAACACTAGAAAATCAGAACTTATATCTTGTCGGTGCCTCCAAGATTACATTGTTACTGGGTGCGGAAGCAATGGGTCTGGTAAAAGAGTGTAATGATAACACTATGAGAGCCTTCACATATGGAACCCGATATAACTTCAAAGATTTTGATGGTGAGTCCCAAGATTATTTCTGTCAGAATCATTTTATCTCACAAATAAGTTTTTGATCAGTAGATCAGGGGTCAACAAACATTTTCAGTAAAAGGCCAAATAGTAAATATTTTAGGCCGTGTGGGCCATACGTCCTCTCGCAGTTACTCGACACTATCCTTGTAAAGCAAAAGCAGCCCTCGACTGTAAGAAATGAAGGGGTGCAGCTGTGTCCCACTAAAATTTGCTTATAAAATATGGCCCATGGACCTTACTTTGTGATCCGTGGAATAGATGAACATAAATTAGGGTGACAAACGTAACTTATTACTATTATTCTGTTCTAATTCTTAGAATGGTGTATATTCACTAGCTTGATATAGAAAAATGTTATAATGAGAAATGCAGTAGTTCGGTATTCTAGAATTGCCATTTCCTGGTAGAGTACCTCGTTCTGTTCTGGCCTCATAGCCCGTTCCAGAAGAGAGTGGTTTCTGGAAAGAACTGAGAGAGCCAAGGTGGCTGTGAGGTCGGAGTGGGAGTTTGGCTTCAGAATAAACTGGTCCCTTCCAGGGCTTTGGAGTTAGAAGATGTGATTAGGCTTCTTCAAAGTCACTCTGGATTTTTATATCTTTATGCTTTATTAACATAAATGGGGGGCGCCCGGGTGGCGCAGTCGGTTAAGCGTCCGACTTCAGCCAGGTAACGATCTCGCGGTCCGTGAGTTCGAGCCCCGCGTCAGGCTCTGGGCTGATGGCTCAGAGCCTGGAGCCTGTTTCTGATGCTGTGTCTCCCTCTCTCTCTGCCCCTCCCCCGTTCATGCTCTGTCTCTCTCTGTCCCAAAAATAAATAAACGTTGAAAAGAAAAAATTTTAAAAACATAAATGATAATGGTAAAAAATCACCTCATTTAAGAGGATTCGCTTGTCAAAAAACAGCGCTGTTTTCTTATCAGACTGTCTTCCCCCAATTTTATGGGAGGAATATTCAACTCCAGAAGGGAACAACCTGGGCTGAAGAGTTTGAAGGAGGAGAATTTGTCATGTAGGCAAACTTCCGTTCCATCCCTAGTTAGGATAGTGTTCGAATTCTGCTCATTGGCCTTAAATGAGATCAAGCAGGTGTCTGCCATTTGGATATTTGCACCCTGTTATATAAGAACTAGGACCGTAGTCCCTCGCTCCCCTTAGCTGTGGGCGATTCATTCCGAGACTCTCAGTGGATACCTGAGATAGCAGACAGTGCTGGGCCATGTATGGGCTGTGTTTTTTCCTATATGTGCATACCTGTGGTAAAGCTTAATTTATGAACCAGACACAGTAAGAGATCAACAACAACAATACTAAAATAGAACAATGGTAATAATCTGCTGTAAGAAAAATGGCGCAAATGTGGTCTCTCTCAAAGTACCTTATATTACTGTATGCACTGGTCTTCTTGTGATGATGTGAGATGATTCAGCTCCTGCCTGCTGAGACGACGTGAGGTGAATGAACTAGGCATTGCAACGTGGTATCAGGCTACCACTGACCTTCTGACAATAGGGCAGAAGGAGGGTCATCACCTCTGGACCATGACTGATGCAGGCAACGAACCGCAAAAAGCAAAACCCTGGATAAGGGGGAGCCATCGTACAGTGATTGAAGGATCGTATTACGTGAAGGCAAACGGTAATTTACTCTTATAAAAAGGCGCTTTATGTTCTATTTAATTTAGGAGTTTTATACTTTGCTTACTCCTTGTGTTATTTATTTATTGTTTATGTCCTCATTTCTATAACCCCAGGTTATTTGAATCTTATTAATTTTATTTTGGCCGTCATGAGAAAATAACTGGAAATTTTTTGTCCTCATTTAGATGACAATGATGACTTCCTCACGATGGCAGAATGTCAATTCATTATCAAACATGAACTCGAAAATCTTAGAGCCAGAGATGAAAAGATGATCCCTGGTTACCCCCAGGCAAAGCTGTATCCAGGAAAGTCGTTATGTAAGTCATGCTATCAGCCACTTCACGGACACATGTTCTGATGCAGTTGTTTTTGCTTAGTGGATGAATAACAAGTTAAAGAAGCTTTGTTGTTTTCTTACTGAAAAACATAGAACTTTATAATAACATATTCTCATGAACATGCCTTTTGCCATTAGAGCTTCGTTATATTGTACCTTTAGATCAATGTATTTGTTCTGTGTGGTTTGCTACTTATTTACCAAGGTCTCGCAGCATTTGGTTTGCTTAAAATTGGGTGTGAACACATATGCGTATTACTCAATACAGATTAGCAGAGTTAACATTATGCCCAGATGAGGAGTGCAAATGGGGGCCACTGTCTTTTCCTGGAGCCCTCTTTCCGTCTCCTCCCCTTTCAGTGGGTGAGCACATGGGAACAAGGCTTAGGGAGGGTCACAGAGTGACATGATACCTGAATGCAGATCAGCAGCTTGCAGTTTTGTGATTTGCTGCCATCCCGTTTGAAAGAGAATACTAGTTTGCAGATAAAGTGCTCACTACAGTGTGTAATTCCAAGTCTGCCTCCTCCCCCCACCCCCCAGGGTGGCAAGGCCTCAGAGCATTTTTGCTGCCCAAATATACTTTAAGCATGTAAGCTACTGTGTTCTCTAGTCAGTTTAATACTACCTTCCGGGCTTCACCCAGCGGGACAGATGCCTGGGAAGCAGTCCACGTTCAAATTTTCCCTGTTGTCATCAAATATATATTAGGGTTGGTTTGTTCAAACCAAGGTCCAGTCACAGATCACCCATTTTGTATGGTGGTTGTATCTCTTAACTCTCTTTCTCTTATTGTGATAAAGTGCACATAACATAAAATTTAAAGATTGAAGATAAAAAATTTAAAGATTTTCACTGGTATTAAATATATTTAGAATATTGTACATTGTCCTCACCATGCCTCTCCATAGCTCCTTTCATCTTGTAAAACTGAAACTCTGTATCCATTACACAATCACTCTGCCTTCTCCCCTGGCCCCCTGCCCAAGTAGCCACCTTTCTACTTTCTGTCCTTATGGTTGTGACTACTCAAATGAGTGGAATTATACAGTATTTCTCTCTATGACTGGTTTATTTCACTTAGCATTGTCTGCTAGGTTCGTCTATGTTGTAGCATATGTTGGAATTTCCTTCTTTTTAAAGACTGAATAGTATTCCAGTGTGTGTGTGTGTATACACGTGTATGCCATGTTTTGCTTGTTTACTCATCCGTCAGTGGACCCTTGGGTTGTCTCCACCTTTTTTCTATTTAGAATAATCCTTTTATGAACATGGGGTGCAAATATCCCTTCAGGGTCCTGCTTTCAATTATTTTGGGTGTATACCCAGAAGTGGAATTTCTGGGTCACATGGTATTGCTATTTTTAATTTTTTGAAGTACCTATATACTGTTTTCTATAGCAGTTGTGCCCTTTTACATTCCCATCAACAGTACCTAAGAGTTCCAGTCTCTCCACATCCTTCCTCTCCAGCATCTATAGTCTCCTGATTTGCTCATGTTAGCCACTCTGACCGGCGTGAGGTGGTATCTCAGTGTAGTTTTCATTTGTATTTCCCTGATGAGGAGTGACGTTGAGCATCTTTTCATGTGCCTATTGGCCATCTGGGTGTCTTCTTTAGAGAAGTGTCTAGTCATGTCTTCTGCCCATTTCTTCACTGGAAAATATGTTTTTTGGGTGTCGAGTTTGATAAATTCTGTATAGATTTTGGATACTAAGCCTTTATCCGATATGCCATTTGCAAATGTCTTCTCCCATTCCATCTGTTGCCTTTTGGTTTTGTTGAATGTTTCCTTTGCTGTACAGAAGCTTTTTATCTTGAGGAGGTCCCAATAGTTCATTTTTGCTTTTTGCTTCCTTTGCCTCTGTAGACATATCAAGTAAGAAATTGCTGTGGCCGAGGTCAGAGAGGTTTTTTCCTGCTTTCTCCTCTAGGGTTTTGATGGTTTCCTGTCTCACATTCAGGTCCTTCATCCATTTTGAGTTTATTTTTGTGAATAGGGTAAGAAAGTGGTCTAGTTTCATTCTTCTGCATGTTGCTGTCCAGTTCTCCCAGCACCATTTGTTAAAGAGACTTTTTTCCATTGGCTATTCTTTCCTGCTTTGTCAAAGATTAGTTGGCCATACTTTTGTGGGTCTAGTTCTGGGGTTTCTATTCTATTCCATTGGTCTATGTGTCTGTTTTTGTGCGAATAACATGCTGTCTTGATGATTACAGCTTTGTAGTAGAGGCTGAAGTCTGGGATTGTGATGCCTCCTGCTTTGGTCTTCTACTTCAAAATTACTTTGGCTATTCGGGGTCTTTTGTGGTTCCATACAAATTTTAGGATTGCTTGTTCTAGCTTCGAGAAGAATGCTGGTGCAATTTTGATTGGGATTGCATTGAATGTGTAGATAGCTTTGGGTAGTATTGACATTTTAACCATATTTATTCTTCCAATCCATGAGCACGGAATGTTTTTCCTTTTCTTTGTATCTTCTTCAATTTCCTTCACAAGCTTTCTATAGTTTTCAGCATACAGATCTTTTACATCTTTGGTTAGGTTTATTCCTAGGTATTTTATGGTTCTTGGTGCAATTGTGAATGGGATCAGTTTCTTTGTCTTTCTGTTGTTTCATTATTAGTGTATAAGAATGCAACTGATTTCTGTACATTGATTTTGTATCCTGCAACTTTGCTGAATTCATGTATCAGTTCTAGCAGACTTTTGGTGGAGTCTATCGGGTTTTCCATGTATAATATCATGTCATCTGCAAAAAGTGAAAGCCTGACTTCATCTTTGCTAATTTTGATGCCTTTGACTGTCGTGTTCCTGATCTCAGGGGGAAAGCTCTCAGTTTTTCCCCATTGAGAATGATATTAGCTGTGGGCTTTTCATAAATGGCTTTTATGATGTTTAAGTATGTTCCTTCTATCCCAACTTTCTCAAGGTTTTTTATTAAGAAAGGATGCTGAATTTTGTCAAATGTTTTTTCTGCATCGATTGACAGGATCATATGGTTATCTTTTCTTTTATTAATGTGATGTATCACGTTGATTGATTTGCAAATATTGAACCAGCCCTGCAGCCCAGGAATGAATCCCACTTGATTGTGGTAAATAATTCTTTTTATATGCTGTTGAATTCGATTTGCTAGTATCTTGTTGAGAATTTTTGCATCCATATTCATCAGGGATATTGGCCTGTAGTTCTCTTTTTTTATTTTTTTTTTCCTGGGTCTCTGTCTGGTTTCGGAATCAAAGTAGTGCTGGTTTCATAGAATGAGTCTGGAAGTTTTCCTTCTCTTTCTATTTTTCGGAACAGCTTGAGAAACATAGGTATTATCTCTGCTTTAAATGTCTGTTAGAATTCCCCAGGGAAGCCATCTGGTCCTGGACTCTTATTTGTTGGGAGATTTTTGATAACTGATTCAATTTCTTCACTGGTTGTGGGTCTATTTCTTCTGTTTGAGTTTTGGAAGTGTGTGGGTGCTTAGGAATTTGTCCATTTCTTCCAGGTTGTCCAGTTTGTTGGCATATAATTTTTCTAGTATTCTCTGATAACTGCTTGTATTTCTGAGGGACTGGTTGTAATAATTCCATTTTCATTCATGATTTTATCTATTTGGGTCATCGCCCTTTTGTTTTTGAGAAGCCTGGCTAGAGGTTTATCAATTTTATTTTTTCAAAAAACCAACTCTTGGTTTCATTGGTCTGCTCTAC